CACAGTAGCTGCGGCGGCAAGATCGTGGTTCACTGCGACATCTCGATGCGCAACCACCTGCCCGTGCACTACTTTGCGGCGTACGGGCGGTTCGAGGTCGTGGGCGAGCAGACGTTTGAGCTTGGGCACATTGTGTCGATGCAGGCGCTGGAGGACGGCGTGCCCAAGACGCACAACTCGCTCGGCGACTGGTTCCTCGGGTCGCGGACTCCGTCGCGCGTCTGCTACCCGGTACGATGCAGCTCGACATGCGCATGATGGACGTATCCTTTGCGTAGAACTTTGTCGAGTTTACGTTCAACGACGCGGCCAAGCACTACTGGCCGTACAACTGGCACGGGTCGGCGGCCAAGGAAAAGCGCAAGCTGCGCCACCTCTTCGTCGTGTACCTCTTCGAGAAGCGGCTGCGCGAAGAGAGCGTCGAGATGCCGATCGACCTCAAGGTCATTGCGCTCGTGCAGTCGCCGAGTTTCCACTTGATCAGCTACCGCTGCAACAACTACCAGAGCGTCGGCGCCGGCTCCAAGAACAACCCAAAGCTGCCGCCCATGCCGCTCGACGACGACGACGCGCGGGCCAAGCGCTTCCGCTTCAACGAGCAGCAAGGACCCACGTGCTAGGTCGCTCGTATCGAGCGTAGTTGCGTGTCGAGACTCGTAATGGCTCCTTTTTTGTGACCTCGATGATGAACGATAAGCGGTACTCGTTGCATCCTACCCTGCGGGATCGCTGCCGCCAACGCTGCCACCATGACATAGTACTGTACTTGTTGCAGCTGCGAGATGGCTGATGTGGTCGGTGCCAGAAAGGACGGACGAGATTCCATCGATCCCAACGGTAGCGGAACCGCAGAGACTCGGCGGTGGAGCGCCGTCCTCGAGCCAAGATGTCCGGTTGACCGGGCGGACGTGTGGCGTTGTACCAGTTTGCCGTAGGACTCGACGACGAACCACGACATCACGACACGATGGGTGGCACGGGATTACGTGATCGCCTCATCTGTTTCCTAGTAAAGAGCGCTCGATTGGTTCGATATGCTCGAATACGCGTTTCGGATTGGTCAAAAAGATCCCGAGTCCGCGAATCGAGTTGCGATGCAGCACCAATGAGCGTTGAAAACGTGGCACGTCGAGGATCAAACATCATGGCCGTCGTCCGAGCAACGCGGAAGGCCTTTCGTTGACTGAGAAACAGTGACGTGGAGTCTTGGGCACACGAAATTCATTAAAGAAGTCAACGAGTGCGTTGCTGCATGTTGGGTTCTTCGGTCGTCGGCGCGTGTCCACAACAGCTTCGCTCACCTGTTGCTGCTGCGCGCCCATCGTCGAATGCTGCGCCATCTGGAAGAGAAGCATGCACTCGGCGCGCGCGCTCATGTCCTTGGCGTCAAACTTGGGCGCCCAGAGCCGCAGCAGCTTGTCCTCGAGCTGCCCGAACGTCTAATGAGGCGCGACTACAGCGCTGCCAGCAACTTGTCGCGGAACTCACCTTTGCTCTTGCGCGCATCGTCGACGATCACCTTGAGCTGGCGGCGGGTCATCTCAAGGTGCTTGAGGTCGTCGGCAAGATGGTTGGCAACGTCAATAACGTCAAGTGCTGGACGTGCTCCAGCGCATCACGAAGGAAGTCGAACTCCCTGTCGATCGTCGCATCCAGCTCATCGACCAGTGTCGTCCACGTCGCGCCGTTGGCCACCCCGGTCTGCAGCTCGATGGCTTGTCCTTCACCGAGTTGAATACAAAGTGCGCCGTAGCCTACACCGA